TATTCAATATGCATAGAAAATATCGATAGAATATGTAATCAGCAAATTAAACCATATTTTCTATGTACAGCGCTCTAGTATAAAAATGATTTTGTAGCGATAAAAATTAATCAATAATATTTTCTGTAAAATATACCGGCGATAGAATCTTCTATCACAACTTTTAATTGATGCGATCGATGATTTTATAGAAAATCGACAATTTTAAAAAAACTATTGATTAGAACATTTTCTACAAAGATGTTCTATGCATATTGGATAATTCATTTATAATAGTTTCGAAATTATTGTTATTAACACATTAATTAAATCTTAAATTTTAATCGTTTAACAATTCATAATTAATAATTGGAAATTTCCATCGCATACTTATGAAACATCGCTTATATTACTTTATTTGGATGTGATCGATAGTCCACCAATCAGAGATTAGAATAATCAACTAACGTTAAGTCCTAAAAGTCCTAGCGATAATCTGATTGAAAATTATTAAATTACCCGAATATTATTAAATCCCGAAACTTATTAAATCCCGAAATTTATTAAATTGATATACCGTAGTGCACTGACCAAAGCATCCACCCTTTTTCAATATCCTCTCTAACAAACTTACCCAGCGCAAAACACGAGACCTCTATTAATTAAATATAGGTTTTTTTTAAAAAAAAATTTTTTAGACTGTTTATTGTAAGTGCAGAATATGTATATGCTTGAATTTTTTTTCTTGCTGCAGTATAATATACCCGGGTCTTTGTAAGATATTTTATATTAGACTCCAGGCTTTTGGTCAGTGCACTACGGTACTTCAAGTGGTATATAACAATTAGACCCCGGGCTTTTGGTCAGTGACTACGGTACTTCAAGTGGTATATAACAAATAATTTCTACCCGACTCTGATTCATAATCAAGTCAACGAATAAGTATCAGCTACAATTACTATTTATAGCCAACCATACTATGTGTGTTTGTAGTCGATTTCGCATTAGTCGACTTTATCGACTTAACCAGGTTAGTCAGCCGATCAAAAATCGACTTAGTCAATTTTATGTTAGATTGTATATTAAAGTAACCAATCAGATTTGGTACATTGCTTCTCTTAGTACATAGTATACTAAGAAGAGTAGGAGTCGAAAAATTCTGAAAAGAGAATCAATGAACGTAAAATATGAGCAAGTCGCGACAAAAATTTGATGCAATCATCCGATAAATTCCGATAAATTCCGAAGGTAAAAAATATTTCATCTGTTTTCATTATTTTTGAGACATCTGAAAAATTTTTTTTTGACGGACGAATCGATAAGTTACCGAGTCGGAATCAATAAGTTACTGATGTTGACCAACATCAAAAACTTATCGATTCGGTCATCAACAATTTTTTAACCAGCTGTAATTGACTTTGACTTAGCCAGCCAAGCCGAATTTTAAATATCAACTTAGTTAAGTCAATAAATAAGGGTCGACTACAAACACTATGTTTGTGATCTGAACCATTTTTCTAAAATTCGAAGGGTTTCGAGTTTTAGATCGTAATTTTCATAGTACTACAGTATTCAAATTATTCAGATTCAGATTAATGTATATTTAACTTGAATATTCGGTGAATGACTAATACAGTATAAGGAGGTTATTAGGTGCGAAGTACCAATAACTAGAGTTTTTAATAAGAATTGCTTATTCGCGTTATTTATCAAACATCAAACAATTAGGTAATTAGGAAGTTTTTTTTTTCGAATATTCGTTAAATACGAATATAGTTCGAATAACGATAACAAATACGAAATATAACCGGAATAGAAACTCGACACTTAAAACTAAACTATAATCTACTGTAACATTCTGTAACATTTACGAATGTTCTCATAAATTCTAGGATGGATTAAAAGTTTCCCAAATGGTATAATAAATAAGGATCTGCTTTATCTTATTATTAATATTTCGGTTAAGATCTGTTTTGACATGTAGTACATGTCAACCAATCACAGATTCAGATATAGCGGTAGCCTAGCTAATTTCATATATGTACGTATAAAAAACTTAAATGAATAAAACTCTCAGACCACTAAACGTGTATAAATGAAGATATATTTATTTAAGATCTTCTTAGTACTCTTTTTAAAATACGTAATAAAGTATTGTTTTTGTTTTTCTAAAATGTTAAGGAAAAAAAGATCCTTTTGTTTTAAGAATTTAGTAAATATATTTTTATTTACTTAGTACATATTTAAAAAATTATTAATCGACAAAAAAAGTTCTTACGAAAAAAATGAATCATTGAACTATCGATTTTACGCACCTAAGTCTCAGGTAGGTTTGTTTCGAGTCACGTGCATAAACTTCTGCGGCACGCATATAGACACTAATTTTTACCTTTTTTTTTTTTTTTTTTTAATTCCAATAAATCTCCATAATACTTATCGTTATTGGCAGCTCACTTTACCGACAATCTACTTTGACGATGGTTATTTTACTAGCATTGTGCGAGTCTGATTGTCGGCCCGCACGGCTCGCAAAATAAAATTTACTACGCGTACGCTTTTAAAGTTTATCCAGCTCTTTACTATATCTTCACATATTCGGTTATTAAGTTGCATTTTTGTTATTTAAAATTTTAATATCTGCACGGCCTGCAGGTTTTTAAGTCAGTGATTGGATCCCGACATTTGAAGGGATATCGGATAATATTCCAATTAAAATCGGATAATATCCGGACTGAACCGTATTTGGTTCGAGCCTGCTTTTCAAAATTTTATTTCGTATTTTAAGTTTGATAATTTTTTTTCCATCCGGAACTTTTCTAAATACCTTTAATCATAATCATATTCTCTTTGCTTTTAATTTATTCTATATACAAAATCTTGATATCTGGTTTAATTGAATTTATTTACAGTATATGTGCCGGCTCATATTATTTATATATTTTATAATAATTTGATATCCGAATATTTATCTGAATATCTTAAATGCAGAAATGGATTAAAATCACTAAACATATATGTTTAAAACATAATAATAAGTTAATATTCGGATTTTTATTGTTTATTTGATCGGATACTTTCCAAAGAGAATTTAATTGAGCATCTCAAATTGAGCAAGTCTCTTATCGGGGAAAACTTCCTGTTGAAGAAATATCCGGTCAGAGGAATGCTCAATTAAATAAATAAGCTCAATTAAATAAATATTTGTTGGGAAGAGATAAAAAATACTTTTTTGCAGGGTATATGTATTATAAGCGATAGAGGCATCACAACCAATGTATTAAAAAATGTTTGTCATACTAGATATGTGATTTGCATTTGAAATATCTAATGCATATGTCAGAATAAAGGGAACGTTTCAGAAGAAAAAAACTAAAATTAGCAAATTCAGTTGAATTGGTTACTTTCCGCATTACAATGAGGAATAATCAGATATTCAAAAGGTGGATAAAAATTGCTCTTCTAAATACTGTATATTTTACGCGATGTTATGTGAATTAAATACGTACGTACGTATTTCTGCCTAAACAAGTTCATAGTATTGGTTTCTTGTTACCTTTAGTTGGATATCTTGGGAAGCCCGCTTAAGAAAGGACCCGTGCATTTCGATTAAGCGTTATGTATTGAAGGTGAGTGTAAAAGGGAATAGAGGATAACCAATGTAATTATCTTTTAATCGCGTGATAATGATAACAAAACTAGTCACCAATGACGACGAAAAGTATCTTAAGGGACCATGTGATATTAGTCAAAAATGGCAATGATTTTAAAACTTTAAGCAGCAGCAGTAAATATACTAATACTAGATACTTTAAATTATACATCGCAGGTGTTTTTTTTTTCGAACGAATCCTTTGCATCATTTCGATCCCTTAATTATTAAAGCATATTTATTCTTTAAATACTATTTAGTATAGCATTAATAAACTAACATTAGAATATGGTTTGGTACTTGCATAGTAATGCATGAAGAAAATGTCGTATCATACTAAAAAAGCTTTTTACCGGTCTAGCCCAACTTAGAAAAATTAAAAGATTTGACGTTTAAGGGACTAACTCTCGTGGTTTTAAATATATATATATATATATCATTAGCATTTATTAGCATTTATTAGCATTTATACTATATAAATATATATATATGATATAATAACTAATAAATTATCTATAATTTTTAATAATTTAAAAAAAGATTTTTTTTTTTGTAACAAATTTGGGCGTAAAAATATTCGGGTTTATTAACTTACTAGGCATCAAAAGGAAAATAAAAAGGACCTATCGAAACTTCTTTATATATAATAAAAAACATAATGCATTAATCGTACCATGCACAATTTTTAACAAATTGATTATTGTTTTACATCATCTTTTAAATACGTGATGTTTATATGCATGTTTGTTTGTATGCGTACGTACTTTTCATACTTTTCACCAAATTTCTAATCAAAAATCCCTGCATCTTGTAACTTTATTGGATTTTTTTTTTCCCCTCATATTCGCTACATGCTCGCTACATACTGCATTAGATGCATATAATATTGGGGTCTTAAAAGGAAACGACTGAATGACATGAATACATTTGTGTGCATTTATGAAATATGTTCTTAGGTGGTTGGACCACTGATGAACCATACACACAAAAACAATCGAACAATTACAAAAATTGTGGTTCACTACATCTTTAATTTGCATAAATGAAAAAACTTTCTTCAAAAATAATGATAATAAAGGTATATAAACAATCATATTCTCGCAATTTCATGCTTTTCTAACATATTTCAAGCAAACAAATCGCTTTTTCACATATATAATTTATATTATATATGTTTTTTATTCATCCTTTTAAATAGTACTTACTATTTTGTCTTTCCTTTAAACCAACATAAGAAGGAGAAAATCTGATATTTTCTCCTTTTTATATAAATATATTACGTTATTAAAATTTATTAAAAACGTAAAAAAAAAAATATAAAATGTGCTGTTCTGTGATAAATTATAGTTCTATAAATTATAGTTCTATAAAGATGGCTACAATTGCCTCACTTCCTGATGATATTCTTTACATAATTAGTAAAGATTTAGGATTCCTTTCAACTTTAGCTCTTCGTTCAACATGTAGAACACTTTATTTATCATTTTCAGATGCAGTTACATTCTCCCATGTATTTATCCCATCATCTATTTCCCATGATCAATTCGCCAAATTATTTTCTCATTTAAAATCGACAAACAAACTTTCATTTATTCACCAATTTACATTCAATAATTCACAAATAAAAGCTGAAGATATAATTTCCGTATTAGAAAATTGTGAAAATTTACAAGAATTAAACATTCTAGGATGTAAAGAGGTTAAATTGTTACCAATAACAACTGCCATGAAAAATTTGTATCAAGAAAAAACAGAAAATTGTGAGGAGGAGAAAAAACTTTATACAAAAAAACATAGATTACAAAAATTAAAAAAAATAGTGTTGACAAGATGTGTCGGCGGAAAAAGACATTCATTAATGATTAAAAAAATTTTAGAAGATTTACAAATTTTAAAAAGGTACCAACGGCAAGAGGATTTCAATAAAGGAAGAAATATTAATTGTTATTATGAAAATCAAAACAACGTATGCAGTACGTCTTACAACAACATTGACACAATTTCAACAATTTCAACTACAATGTCAAATATGATGCCTGCCGTTCTGATGTCAAATTCTGTCAACATTTACACAAATGTCAACTTCACAAATCCAATAACATGTAATAAAAATACTAGTGAAAAAGATGATACAAATGATGGCATATTCCAATTCCAATCATGTTCTGATCTCTCATGCGAACTTTGTAATCTAAAATGCGCAGGATGTAATACAAAATATAAATATTGGGATGAGTTTTGGATCAAGTGCGGTTGGTGTAAAGATAGACATTTCTGCGGCGGATGTGTGATAGATGCTTCCAAGAAGAATGTTTTTAAAACCTATGCATTCCAATTTATGAGAATAAAATTATGTCAGATGTTCGATTTACCTTGTCCTCATTAGATTTTACGCGCGTAATTAGAAATTAGAAAGTTATTAAATGTGAGATATCTTTATTTTATTTTTCCAATAAATTTTATAATAATGCTTTTTTTTTTTTTTTTTTTTTATATACTCATCCCTTTGTAATTTCATCATTTGCATAATTTTTATTTTTCAGCTTAGTCATTCAGTTTACCGATTTGTATATATCTTCAAGAAATAATAACTAATAAACAAATAAATAATAAATAAATAAATGAATGCTTAGACTTGGAATGCAATAGATTCTTTGAAAAAATAAAGTATCTCTCTTTGAAAATCACTAATATTAATTAAGGGTCTAAACATGGAAGATTACGAAGATTACGCATTTTTTTTTTAGTATAAAAAAATTTTTTGATCAGGAGATACGTCTGTAATTGTTGCATGTACACCAGAATGAAAATATAATTAGGATGACACATTGAGATAATTACTATAAGAAGTAACTTGGTACTATATTTAATTTATTTATCGATTTAAAAAAAATTCATTAACATTAAATCATGATGCATTAGATCTTTCTAAATCGATACAGATGAATGTATAGTTTGAAATAGTCTTTTGAAATATTTTAAGAATGGCCTCTTAGTTAGATTAGATAATATGTTGAGTAGGTTAAGTAATCGAACACCCCTAAGTCACGCACCACGCACTCTTGTGACAATATTATCCCTTATATATTTTAACACTAAATATATATATTTTAACGCTAAATATATATGTATTTTTTTCAAACATTAATCGAAAAATTTAATTAATTTTTTTTTTTTTTTTTCAGCAGCCTTTTACTATTTAAAATAGCAGAATGCTTATTAATAAATTGATTAAATCATAACCAAAGATTATCTTTTCGTTTTCGAGTTTCAATTGATGCATTTTATGCATGTGCGTTTGTGTAAAATTTCAAGAATAATCAAATATTGTTCTATTAAGTAATTTTTTAAATTTTACTAGTCGAAAAATGTCATCAATGCTGATATTCCCCAAACTAATTCGAAACTGCCATCAACGTTGATTGTTCACAACTAGTCTAAAATGTTATCTGTGCTTGATTGCCACAAGAAATGAAGCGAATACATATTGATATTGTATAATAACATTTATTATCACCAATAATAATATAGATGGACCAAAGATTGTAACTAATCGAATAGTTCATACAATATCATAAATTGGTAATGATCGAAAATGATCGGTGGATGTCAAAAATACGTCTTTTTAATATTGTCACTTATTCGAACTTGTCGCTCAGACAAATTCATTCTTGCAATAACCTATATATATAACACCAGTGATTTATTCAAACATATAAACTTCAAAATTTCTCTCGACTAATGTCGTGACCTTCGCATTCTTTTAAATTATTATTCCCCATTAATTTTACTAATCCATCGACAAAAAAAAAAACCTAAGTTTATCAAATAATCCAATAATCCAAATAATCCAAATAATAAGATGATTGCAAAAAAAATTAAACAAATACCCTTAAAAAATACTTGTAATAGGAACTGCTCATGAAGATGTTATACTTTATGTTGACAAGTTAGATTCGATGGATAGTGCTCTAGGAACTGGAACTCAAAAGATCGAAAAAAGAGTTGGCGGTAGTGCTGGCAACACTCTCGCAGTTTTGTCTCAATTTCCTATGACAAAGACTTGGCTTATGGCTCCTATGGCTTCTAAAGAGGCTTCAAAGTAAATTTTTATATTTGATTTGTTAATACAGTATTATCGTTATATAATATTATCATTAGTATATGATTCTATAAAAATTAACAACCCTTTTTTTTTTTTGATCATTTCAGATTTTTAATCCAAGATTTCGAATCACGTAATATTAAGACTACAATTTGCGCATTTAGGTCTAATGTACAACATCCTCAGGTCACATACTTTATTCATACTGAAGATGAAAACTCAAGAACTGTTGTAAATTATAACAGGTAAACTCATCTTATTCCCTATTTCTTATTATTATCTCTTTTATACTAATTTATCTATTTTTGTAGTATCAAAGAATTAACATTCGAAGAATTCAAAAGAAAGTTCGAGTTTGCTTGTACTGTCGAAATAGCTTCTTTAAATTCTTCAATGCCTTACAATTGGGTTCATCTTGAAGGCCACAATAGAGAGGCGAAAAAAATGATTGATTATATCGATTCAAGAATTTGGAGGAATAAAGCTATTATAAGTGTTAGATTAGAAAGACCTTATAAAAAAGGTTTAGAAACTTTAATACAAAAAGCTGACGTTATATTCTTTTCCCACATCTTTGCTGAAAGTAAAGGATATAATCGTGATGGTGCTTATGACTTTTTAAAAGTTATGAGTCGATTTTGTAAAGATACGTAAGTAAAATAATTTTATTTAATTTATTTTTATCTAAATATTTCTTTATATTTATATAATCTTTTTTTTTTTGAAAAATTAAAAAAAAACAGTGCCTATTTATTTTGTACTTGGGGAACATACGGAGCATTGTGTTTTCACAATAAAACCAAAAGAATTTATTCTGCTTCTGCATTACAAGTACCAGTTGTAGTCGATAGTATAGGTGCAGATGATACATTCATCGCCTGTGCGATATATGGTTTAGCTCAAAGAATGTCTCCAGAAGATTGTTTAAGATTTTCTTGTGAATTATCGAGTAGAAAATGTGCTCAATTCGGTTTTGATGGAATTATTATTGATGAAATGAATAAGCTATTTTGACTATATGGTCGGAATGAACCTTCTTCTTCTCTTATAAAAAAGAATCATTTTTATGAATTATTTAGTGGACTATTAAGAAAACGTAAGACTCGAAAAGAGTCTAATATAAATAATAAGATAGACAGTGGTTTTGGTTTTCTTCCAGATGAAATTCAATATGATGACTTTGATAATAATGATAATGATGATATATTTACTCACAATATTGATAATAATGATAATGATGATATATTTACTCACAATATTGATAGTATTAATAGTAATACTGGCAGTATGAGGTCGTTTAGAAGTAATTCCAGAAAAAGGCAATGATACATCCATATTATTTTATTTTATCTGTTTGACACAGATAAATATTAATAAATGTGAACAGGGTTGTCTTGCATTAGGTAAGTTCACGTTAATCCTACGTGGTATTATTATATTATATCAATGTATATAACTTCATTTTTTTAGAGTTTCTTTTTTTTTTTTTTATTATTATTATTAGACCAAATTTAAAATAAGAGCAATGTATTCTTTTTTACATAGTAACCCTTTGATTACAATTAAGAAAAATAAAGATTTAAATGATTAAGGAAATATATGAGTGAATATGAATTTGTCAAATAAACTATCGCAAATTTACAACATATAAATCTAAAATTAAAAATATCTAAATATTCAATCAAAGTCTATTACCCTTACGTTATTCAGAAGCAAAGATAGGATTCTATGATTTATTAAATCGGGTACTTACATTCATAGAGTTTCTTGCGACAAAAATTGATTGCTGGAGCTAAGAATAAAGTGAAAGCTTTCAAACCTTACGAAATTCCAGCATCCAGAAATTAAACCTAAACTAAAAAAATTAAGTTTCATAGATCCGCAGCATATTAGTAAGATATCAGTCAAAACGTGCATTCGTGTATCATGTCTGATTGTAACATGTCATCTTATGTATATATACTTAGTATTATAGCAATAGTTTTATTATTAATAATAATAATTAATAAAAAATGAATTATAATTCGACACGACACTCTTTTATGTAACTATTTGTCAAGGCACGTTTTGATTGTGACTGCCCCAAATATTGGAATGCCTGACGAAATTATTTTGTTCAACGAAACCGTAAGTTTCGTCATAATTACGTCATTGACGAATGATGAAACAATTGTTACGTCTGATCACGTGAGCTTCGCCCAATATTGTGATATCGATCTACCTTCCCGATGTCTTACCAATATGCTGCAGGTATTTGGCGGATCTATGGCAGACTACAGGACTATCGGGTAAATATCGAGAAACTTGTCTCCCGGTATGTACCCGATATTCATTGATCAATCTGTGATAATGCCGACTTTTAATTAAAAAAATAACAAATAAAACATAACGATAATAAATACAGTATGAATAAATGGTAATCGGTTAACCGACTCGGACAGAAACAATTCGGTTGATCCGGCTAGGCAAAATGCTTAACCGGTTAATCTTGCATAATCAGTTGACAGTCGGTTAATCAACTAACCATTATAATCATCACTAAATGATATAGTACAAATTAAAGATTAGTTAATCACATTTGCTAGAAATTTTAGTCAAGATGATTATAAGTCATCCATTATTGGTCTTCGACAATAGTCTAATTAATATCACTATAATGGTTGAGCACCTACCAAATTCACTGTCTAATCACATCAATCGTGATGCTCGAGAACACACAAACTCCAATTTATGTAAAATAACTTTATCTAGAATTAAAAAATAATAAAAAATTTATAACAAGCACCCATTTCAAGGATTTAGACGTGACATCAATGTCACTGGCACAGTAATGTGGTGTAGTTAATATGAATGTTTAAAAGTATTTTCTAACTAATAATGATTCTTTTTACTTTAAAAAACTTTAGATAAGAAATGCTCCATAATGTGCACTGATGGCTAGTTAGAATTATTTCATCTAGCGGATCAATGTGTCATTGGCAAATTGCGAGGTGCAAAAAATTATAATTTACAAGTGAATCAACTTTCTCAGAACCAATCATATTAAAATTAAATCATCTTTTAAATATATTCTTGATGTTTTGTCTTCATTATTGTCTCTATAGTTTTAATTAAGAGTGCCAACCTAGATACGATTTCATAGTGATCGACAAGTATTATCCCTTAAACCGTCTAGCGGGCAAATTTGCCTGCTAAAATGATTTTTGAAAAGTTTTTTTGAAATTTCTCAAAATTTATT